AGGGTTTAGGGTTTGGGGGGTGGTTTTGGGGGTTCGAGTTGAAGACTTAGATGGGGTTGTAGGCACAGGGTTTGTGTGGCCTCTGGGGTTTCCGAGCCAAGAAGTTGAGAAGGCAAAGGCCAAGGAGTCCGACAAAGACGGCAAGCAGAAAGAAAAGGACCCTTGGGATGTATAGGCTTTCAGAGCCTTGAGTTTTAGGATCGAGGGAGGAGGGGGGCGGGTAGGCAATGTGGTTAGGGCTCTCAGCGTTTCAGCGTTTCTCAGCCTTGAACAACCAGGCAGAAACACTAAGACCCGAGGTAGGGCTGAGTTGTTTCGGGTTCAGAGTTTGGGAGTTTGCAATTTCATGCGCGGTTGGAAGCATTTTGGTGTTCCAAGTGTTTAGCTTAGGAATACCTTGTCCAGGCGTCGTCATAGTGCAAAACACCCATCAGGAAAGGTTTTTGAAAGGGCTCTCTTTGCGCTCAATGGACAACCCCCCCACGGGGCTCCTGTCCCGGAGCCTATGCCCCTTGGCCTGGACTCACAGATTTGGGCTTGCAGCCCAGAGCCTAAGAACCGGCGCGGGGGGTCTCGAATATGCCAGATGAGCACTTGTGCAGAAGGGATGGCTCAGAGTGAAGCACTCCATGTACAAGCAACAAGAGCCCAATTTTCCGAACAAGCACAGCCTTAGAACTGGAAATCCCTCATATGGGAGCTCGCTCTCTGTCTGATTGGTAGTCTCATCTGCTTCTAGGTCCATTTCATTAACTGTATCCACATGATGCTTGAGTAGTAGTAAATCCCACGAGGCTATGCGAAACGTATTAGTCCTCAATGCTAGTCCAGTCTTCAGCAATTCTTCCCCCCCCCCCCCCACCCCCAAAGTCTCGACGCCCTCAACCCTGCGGCCTGTTTTCGAGGGAACCCTGATTCAAGTGTCCAGTGCCCTGCAACGTCTGCAAGGACAACGACAAAGGCAAAGACAAAGACAAGGACAAAGACAAAGCCAAGCAGGTAGACCTGTCATCTGGCATTCATTTCGAGAGCGGGGACACTACACCCCGAAATTCCGAAGCTCTATTTAACACTTCGGGTTTGAGCCAAACTAGCCTGTGTGCAATTCCAACTGGCGATCATTGAGACAAAGATCTAGAAAAGGCGCTGCAATACGTCGCAACAGTGCTCCCAAAGTTTACCTGTAGCCCAACTGCCAGGAGGACCTTAACAGCCTTAACAGAGGCGACTTAGGATTTTTGAATCGGATTTTGCAGGGCTTATTGATGGCTTTCATACGGTATCGATAATGCGCTGAGGGTTTTGGCGTGTTTTTTTATCGATTTCCCCGGACTACAAGGGGATACTGCGTTCAGTGATTTAGGTTTTGGAAAACTGATCAGCTCTCAGATTTTGTATTTTGTCGTCAGGAGTTCTCCCAGGGCAGCCGGCCAAGAGCAAGAAGAAAGCTGCAAGCTCTACCGACTCACGGAACCCATCTAGCAGGAAATACATCCAAGCTAAAGCCGCAACTCGAGCCCCCAAAACCATATAAACCCTAAAGTCCTAAACCGTCCGCGCTCCAAAATCTTCCAAAACCCTCCGCTAAGCTACATAAGAGGAGCGTTATCGTAAACCCATCTAAGCGCTTCGTCCTACAAACCTGCAAACCCTTGTAAAAAAATCGCCAAGACCCTTTAGGCATCCCTAAGCCTTCGCCAGGCCAAGCGGAGAAGTCCTGAGAGCAAGTCTCCTTCAGGAGCCGCCAAGAAGAAGGCGCCCTAACTAAGGATGTCGTACTGGGTCTGTGCTTGGCTTGGTAGCTGTAGTTGCAGTGGTTCAGGATCTTAGACGGTTGCGGGGTTTCGAGGTTTAGGCTTCTGGGGCTCATATAGGGTCCAGGGCTTAGTCTTGAGGGCCTCCGTGATAGAGCTCTTAGCTAAGGCCACGCCGTCTTTTTTTTTTTTTTTCTCTTTTCCCTTTGGCCCTCTCAAGTCCATAAGCCCCAAAACCCTGAGACCCCTGAGCCCTGAAGCCTTAGTGTGGATCGGCATTCAAGGGATTGAAGTGCTAGATGCCTCGAAGCCATCATGGGCCTTCTGGGGCTTTTTTGGGCGCCTGACCCAAAGGTGTACCGTTCAACCCTGAACAAACCCTGAACGGAACCCTAACCCCGAAAACCCTGAATGAACGCCGAACCCCGTAAATTCATTAAAGGCAAGAGCTCCATCAAAGCAACACGACCATACGACCCGACTAGTATACGCGAAACCCGAAACCATTCAAGCCAAAGTCCATGAACCGCGAGCCTTTAAACCCTAGCGGTTTAGATGCATGGCTTCGGCTTTCAAACCTGGGGTGGGGGGGGGGGTACATGTCGGGTTTGAAACTCAGCTCTGGGGGTCTGCATGTCAGGTACAAGGTTTAACGGTACCTCCAAGCCACGTAACATACAGGTTACTGCCCCCGGATTCGAGGCACCAGCCCTTAAGAGAAGGTAGTCGGAGCCACAGGTAGGTTTTGGCCAGCGTCAGGCGGACAGTAGAGATATGGCAATAAATGGGTGCCCTGACATAAGGCCGGTGGCCACGGAGAGTGTATGAGGTATATCCCGGCCTCTCCTACAAGCCAGGTCTTAACTACCTGCCGGAAGCAGTGAAAGCTCGAAGCTGGAATGCAAAGAATCCTAATCCCTGCAATTGCCCTGAACACAAAGTTCCCCTTATGTTACCCTTCATGTCTGCCTTGAGTCAGGTTCGCCGGTAACATGAGCTGGAGCTGGGGGGTTTCTTTGTGGACCGTCTGGCTCCATGACCCTACACCCCAGCTGCTAAACCAACGTCCAAAAAAAGCCTCAACCCCACAACTTCAATCCTTAACCCCAGACCCTGCGCCTTTCGTGTGGTCTTGTGTCTTGCCCAAGGTGCTCCAATAGCCAAGAAGACCTCAAGCACTGCTTGAGGTTTAGGGGTCCGAAGGTCAAGTAGCAATGGTACCAGTACAACTGCTGTGAAGAAGCCTTCACCACAAGAACGTGCAGGGTATGGTATGGCATCCGCGATAGCGTTAGTGGTGTCAGCCAGAGTAACTTAGTATGTGCCAGTGGAATGAATTCTAGAAACAGTTTCGGCAACAACCTAAACATTGAAGAATCCGTTCACAGCTCGCGAACATTGGCAGTGAAGATAAGCATCAGCAAGAACGAGCACTTAGATCCCAAGCCTTCAACCCTCAAGCTAAAACCCTAACCCTAACCCCTACACCCAACGGACCCGAGAGAAGTCAGGTGTCACCGTTCAGAGCTCTGGGACCGGATGTCGCGGCCCGCGAAAAAAGACAGTTTTACGAGCTTGAAACTGCAGTGGTTACTGCAAATCCACTCTGTTTGTTAGCGTGCCAGCTTTGGCGGAGGCATTCATGCTCGAAAAGTCAAAGGAGACAGGAATAATAGTATTTCAGAAGATGGTATTGTAGAAGCAGCTGGGAAAAACTCAGAGTTGCCGGTCCTGAGGTCAGGTTGGCTAGAGTAGACTGAGGTTTCTGCAAACCAACTCCAAGCAGTACAAGTGAGAAGAAGATGGGCGATTGACAAACACCACTTCCAGGCAATCTGTTCGCGAAACTTGGTACTACCTTCGCCTTGTCAGCACAGTTTCCATTCTCGGCGAAAGGCCTCACACAAAAGCCTTCTGAACCCTAAACCACTACAATCCCTGCGCAACAAAATATGATCCTGGCCAGGTTAAGGTGAGAAGTGCACTTTCTAAGCTTTTTGGTCGCGCAGACTCTTGTCGAGATGGACACGACTGGCAAGCGTACGCAGCCGCAACAAACATTCATGAAGCCCGTATAACATCCTGTTACAACAGTTACAACCGCTTAAGCAAAGGGACTTAAAGGATGTGCTGCTGCCTGACGAAGAGGTAGGGTATGTCGGGATTTAGGCTGCATGTTTGGGTCGAAGAAATTGTTGTCTAGGGTCGAAATTAGTACCCTAGCCCCCCCAACGCGAAACCGTAAACCCAAGCCCTGAAGCCACATGGAATCGTGCTGCCTGGCTCGAAAGCTCCGCCCAAGGAAGGCAGGTGTGGGATAATGACGGGTTTGGGGTTCCGGCTTTAGGGTTCCCGATGCCTGAAATTGAAGCGCTAGACCGTTTGTGACTTTCTTGTTGATGTTGCGGGGCCTCATGGATTATTGATTTCGGAATGGGTGGTGTTTGCTAAACCCAGGGCTTATTGTGGGTCGCGAGGCGAGTTTGCCAGCCGTAGGTTTGTCAGCAAACAAGCCTCTACGCGGCGAGCAAGCTCCGTGATCAGCCATGGATGGTGTGATGGCCCCGAGCTGCCTGGCTTTAGATCATTTTCGCAGCTCCATTGGTTGGAACAACACAGAACCGAAAGCCCAGGTGGAAGGAAAGGGGTCCCCCAAGCCCGTCTCCCCCAAGCCCCTTTAGGGCAAATCCTGAACCCTTAAACACCATTTTAAAAAACCCTGTAGAGCACCAGGTGGGGATGTAGGGTCTGCGGTTTTCGGTGATGTAATTTCTGGAGGCATTCGCTTTTGGGTGTTGGGCTTTGAAGTTTCGTCTCTTTGCCTTGAAGCCTATTCCTGATGATCTAAGAATCTAAGCCCTGCCTCGTTAACTCCTCGTCCTAAGCCCTGAACCCCTAACCCCCAAACTGTGAACCCTCAATCCCTCAACCCCAACTCAGAAGCTGAAACTGCATGACCTTAAACCACAGGTGTTCAAGCGTTTCCAAAGATTGCAAAAAACAACCTAGAAGCACACGGCCATAACACACACACACAAACACACGCAGCACAGACGGATCATCAACAAGAGAACCCATACATGGAAACCACACCTGCATGCATATGCAAACACCTACACACATAAGCAGGTGACAACGGCCTCTCCAAGGAGTCTTTGGAAAATGTGCCTTGGTGCAGGGCTGCGTGATCTGGTCCTCTATAGGGGCTCTAGAGTCTAGAGGGATTAAGATTTTTAGGGTTTATGGCTTCTGAGATTTGGGGGTTCTCGAAAGTTTCTACAGGGTTGAACAGGCGTGCTTCAAGGGTTCCTTTCAGCCGATAGGGCTTGCTTGGGGTGTTGGCTTCAGCGTTTGGAGTGTAGGTGTGCGTGGCTTTGGGTCTAGGGCTTTACTAGTTTGGGCTTTAGGGCTTTCGGGTGTCGTGTGTAGGCTTCAAGGTTTGAGAACTGCGGCTTTGGGCATTGAGGGCATTTTAAACCTCGCCGCATGATGATGACGGTAGCCTCAAATCCCGAGCCCTAAGCCCTGGACCCCATGTCCGAAAGCACTGTTTGGAAAGACCTTTCAACCATGCTGAAACAATGTTTCCACCCGGCTGCTTTGCAATTGACTCAATGAGATCGAAAGGAATGGCCACTTATCCTGCAATGCCGCACTAAGCAAGAAGGAGCTGCCGGTAGATGTTGGTCTTACTTGTGTACATGCAAACTTGTATGAAGATGTATACATACATACATACATACACACACACACATATATATATATATACACATAACAGAACAGGCGTACAGATGTACATGTCTTTATCTCCATCTCCTCTCGTCTCCTATCGTCTCCTCTCCTCTCCTCTCCTATCCTTCCTCATGCACATACTATCCTGTCCTATCCTAGCCTCATGGAGATTAGGATCATAACAGCGTTGGGTTGAGAGTTTAGTAAACGGGTTTTGCCATTACGGCAACAAAGAATCGAAGAACTGCTTCTTCAACTCGCCCCACACAAAAAACCATTCTAAATATTTATCTGTCTGTCTCCCTGTCTGTCTGTCTGTCCGTGCATCTATCTATGTATGTATGTATGTATGTATGTATCTATCTATCTATCTATATTTGGTTGTATTCTTATTCGTCTTATCTTGACCTCGCCGAGATCATGGCCTTTGTGTCTTACCTTCCCTGTGCCTTCGCTATCTTCTTCACGGCGACTGTGAAGCACACCGAAAAGTACGAGGCTCTGGTATTCTAGATTCTAGAACAGAAAATCCCAATCTTCGCAACTCGTCAGCCTTTCTAGACTCTAAGTTCGGGCAGCACCCCAGAGTGCGAACTTCAGTATCCTCTTGTCGCAAAGCCGTAGCCGTAGACTCTGCAGTTGCAAGTACCCGAATGTTCGGGGTCATGAAACATTGCGGAGGATCTGTAACTTGGCATGCTATCGTGCCCACCGCCCTAGTTCCCGAGTACCATCAGCCCGGCAGGCACCCTAACTGCTTCGACAGACGTAAGTGTCAGCACAAACAGGAAGCTCAAGCTCTCAGCCCTAAACCCAGCGCCCCTGGATAGTGCGACATTCCGGCTTCTTGGATTCGGCGTTCTCGTTCATGGTTCCTCGCAGAATCCAAGTCCTTAAGGTCTTGTCTTTTGGGCCCTCTTGTCTTCGACAAGTCCCATAAATTGAACAGGAGGCAGATAGTTTGAGCTGTTCCATACAGTACTAAGCTTGTATAAAGGGTGTCTTTATCGGGTAGCTGTGTCGTTGGGGTTGTATAGGGCTTTTCGGAGTTTAGTATAGAAGCTTCGATGTTTGCTTGTGTCTTTGCTGTCGGAACTTGCTGTAGGCGAACTATGCTTCAGAGTATATTGCAAGCTAGCCCTATTCAAGCTATGCATGCCCCTACACGAGGTTCTAGAAACTAGGATTCTCGCTGGTTTTGGGCTTAGCTGGTGCAAGTTCTCTTTCGGCAATTCTTGGATTTTTGGGGTTGTGCTAGCCCTTTACTACGTGGTCCTACATTCCAGAGCCGAATCATCGGGAGCCTTCTCGTTTTGGTAAGTGGCCTGGGCAACAAGGTACCGGGAAAGCTTTAGATTCAGATGCTGCGCATTATTGCCCGAAGCCCGAGCCCTAAAGTATGGTCCAGAGTAAGAGCCTCGACAAGAGAAGAGAAAACAGGTCTCTTCAGACCCATTCCTAAATCCTGGCCGCCCTAAGTACGCCCATAGATGTCAGGACGACAGCGGCTCTTCTGGAGTCCTGGTCGGTGTCCCAACTCTTTCTTGTCGGATGTGGGATTTTGGCAAGGGGGTCCAGCGCCTCAGGGTCTAGGGTCTAGGGTTTAAGTGTAAAGGGCTGTGGACCCCTCCAGCCTTGAGCAGCTAAACCTGAAAAGATATATGATATATATATATATATATGTATATATATAACGCCAAAAAGGCTCATGGCTTCTTTTTGTTGTAGCGTGGGCAGGTCTATGTTCATTGAAATTTCACTCCTCGTAACCTGAGCTTTCCTCTCTTGGCAGCATCACACACAAGCCCCTGCCGTCGTGGGTATGTATGTGTGTAAGCTTTCCGTGGCCGGTGTACAACAAAGGCGACACTGTCACGAGATTTAGCAGTTCTGGGCTTCAATGTGTAGGGTTCTCAGATTCTTGCGAACCATAAATCCCAACCTCAACCCCGAAACCCCAAAGGCCCAAAGCCTCTACCCTTAAACCCCTTCAACCCCAGCTCTGGGCTGGGCTTAGCTTTGGAGTTCAGGCATGAGGGGTGCCACTTGGTAGGTTGCAGGTCTTAGTGTCAGGATCTGGGTTCCGGTTGAAGGTGTTCCGGGGGCTTGAACTCTTCAGACTCCGGTGGTTGAGGCTTGGTTTCGAGCGTTTGGGATGTGTTTTGAAACAGAGGTCTGCATTGTGCCCAAGTTGTGGTGTCTATCAAGGGAGCACAGTGTTGTTCCTGAAAGCCCTCTGACTAACTTGGCCCCCACAGT